TAAATCATCGTCAAATTGTTCATGTACATTTTAGGAACGATAGGAAAGATCACTTAGTAACTTATCAAGACAAACAAACTTCATCTGTGGGAAATGCAAAGTGGCCCTTTAAAATTCTGCTTTGTTGATTACCATACAAAATAATTAATCATTTCTGTCATTACTTTTGTTGGATTAACTTAAATAAAAAAAATATTTTTTGCAAAGAAGTTTTATCAATATTGTAGTTGGATATGCCACCTTAAATTTTTAGGATTTTTGATTAAATTGTTTTCAGTGGCATCGTTTTCTTTGTTACAAGTCTTTATTTTGTATACGTTTCTTTAATAGGTCTGTGTTTTAAGAAAAGCTTGCATAATTCGTACATCTACATACCATATTTTCAGTGAAACTTAGATATTCTTGCATATCAAAAGATAGTGACTTTTGATCAGCTGTTCGGTTGGTAACCCCACTTCCTGTAAAGTAAAGATGATTTGGCATTCTATATATTTCTTAATTTCTTAATAATAATTTAATTACAGTGTTATTTTATTGTACTATATTTAACTTTAAGATCGGTAATATAAATAAATTGAATTCTCCATTGGTTTCGTCAGATTTTCAGTATATTCCTTCAAGTCTTATCATTGGCATTGGCAAAAAGTTTCTTAAGAAAAAAAAGGGCCACTTTAATTGCGGTGATACTCACTCGATTTCCGGTTCAACAAGTGATTGGTTAAGCTTAGGGGTTTGATTTACGAAAAGCTTTATCTTTAAATATTTGTGGTAAAATTACACATCCTTCTGGGGACATTAGATGAATGGTTTTACAAGTGATTTCTGGTACTTTGCAATAGTTATTTTGGTTATCAAGAAATCTAGCCGATTTTTTTTGGGATATAAAATCACTCCTTGCTGCCAATAATCCATTACATTTCTTTAGAATAATCCTTCGCTGTCACTGAACGTAAGATTTTCTTATAACCACAAGGTTAAATTACTTGTCTGTGTTCGTATTTGATCGTAAAGGGTGTACAAACCTTCTAATGATAATATATTTATTTTAGGGTTTTTATATGCTACGAATTTATTTGCATTTTTGATGGGAATTCTTCGTGTCTTGTTGTTATACATGCAACCCCATGGGGTGAAAATTGTGGTGTTCCGTAATGTTCCTTTAAACTTCAAGTTTTGTTGTTACTGTGTACCTGTCCCAAGAAGTTTAAAGAGCCTCCAGTGCTTTTGCCTGCATATTTCCACTACGTTTCTGACATAACCAGGAAGATCTTCGTTACAATAAGGTTTAATCTAATAACAAGAGAATATTTATATAAGGATATTTCCCAGGTACTTATGGACTAGTTTACTCGCTTAAAAACCATACTAATATATAGGACCACAATCCACACAACAAGGTCTGTTCTATCTCGTACTAAAAATACAAAAAATCACTGCAACACTGCACAGTTTAACGGCGGCCATTTTTGTTGTTTACAATTTTTGTGCTTTGGGTTTGTGCTCTGTTTATACAGATTAATAATCGTTTTAAACGTTGTGTTTCTCATAGTAAGCCTTAAAAGTGCTAAGAACAACCATTTTACTCCTCTATTGTAAAAAATAAACTTTATTCTATCAGGGCTGTCATAAAACTGTCAAATGTCAATTTTAAGGTTAAATTATAACCCACAAATTAACCTTCAAATTGTCATTTGACAGCCCTGATAGAATAAGGTATATTTATTATAAAAGAGAAGTAAAATGGTTGTCCTTAGCACTCAAAGGCCTTATTTGAGGCTTACGAGTGCCTCTGTAAGAAACACAACGTTTAAAACAATTATTAAACAGCACAAACCCAAAGCACAAGAATTGTAATATTTCTTGTGTTATGATCCTAGGGTTATGATCATAGATGAAAGACTTATGAATTGAATTAAATATGTCAGATAAACTCAGTGAAATTTAAAAAAATGGCAATTTTGGTCAAATCGTGATCGCATCGCAAAAATAATATCATATTCGGTTTTCTCGTGCCCAAAAACCCCTAAAAACACATTTTGAATGAAATCGAAACATCTAAAAAGTGATCTATAAAATGGTACAATTTTGCTAACTTCGAAAAACGGCTGTCACCACTGGATTCAGCGTACTCAAATTGACTTTACCACATATGTCTCCCCTCTGTTGATTTTTGCGACTAGCACAGTGTAATCTATAGACGCGATTACAATGAATAGAACCAATCAGGCTTAAAACAAAGGTTTAACTTAAGGCCTCAGGAATTAATAATTAGTATCAATCAACAATTAGCGTATTTGTAATTAAATATAAGCTGGGGACTTAATTATGGAATCAGTAATATCATAATATATAATATATTCGATTACATTTGCTTATTGTTGTCCTTTGGAAAGCAAATTCAATGTTTGCAGTATCCGCATTTGAGCTAACAATGTCTCTTATAATCATTGCTTAATCTGGCCTTGGAGAACAACTAAATTAATATACATTTTTTTTAAGTCTCAGTATACATGGGTGATTCTACAAAAGTTGGACAACTTGATGTCATTAGTCAATAGAGTAGGTATTTTAATATTATTTGTAAATATTTTAGTGTATTACAAAAGATTCAGGTTTTTTTAACTTGTCCACCCAATTTTAATGTATTTTTTCAAAAGCACGTTTGTAGAAAAATATAATAAATATTCAAAACATCAGTACCTTGGCGTGTCACAACTCCTGAATCAAATATATGAGTAATTTTATTTTAAAATATATTCAATTTATCTTAAATTTTTTAATTTCACTACAAACTATAAAACATTAAATAATGTATTTTTCATATTTTTTCATAGATTCGAATAATAGCAATTTTTAAAAAATTGATAATCTTTGTACTCACTTTTACCCGTCAGTTCTGTGTCGAATGGTAAAATTCAAAATTCCTGCGAAATATTGTTTAAAAATATAAGTTTAAACGTCAAGTCCTCGTTTTAACTTAAATGTTGGTAAAATATTACCTACAGAGCCCGCCCTTTGCACGACAGTAATCTTGAAAACAATGCAAGCGGCGAAGTTGTGGTGAATGCACGTATAGTTCCAGTCAAAATTTCAGTATTGTGGTGAGTAGTTATTTTCTTACGTATACAGTGTGTCCGTTAAGTCCCGGAACATGAGATTATTTTAAAAACAGTAATTTTTTTTTTAAACGCTGAAACACGTCAACTTTGTTATTTTTCTAGCAATATTTTGGCATATGTAGTTGTTCCAAATTCTGCCGGGTGGCGGCGCCACAATCAAAGTCAGTTTTTTTTAAATTGCAACCCTTTATTTTTGTTGCATTTTCGAATAGCTACCGTTGTCCTGATTACATTGATGTGCCACATCTAGAGGGTTACATAAGAAAATTTTTGAGAAAAGCAGGTTTTTGCCGCCGAATGAGATTTTGGTATTTTGTCAAACTTAAACACAATCTATGCGTTGCTTAATGTTTTTTGGAAAGCCAATCAGAGCAGCTGCACAAAGTTTCCACCGTAAACTATTTGGCAGTGGGCCAGTCTGTCCACAAACGAGCGTTGTACGTTTGCCAGTACCGCTGGAGTGATCATCTGGATCTCGGCTTGAATGCGGTGTCTTCGGTCGTCCAAATTTTAAGGCCTGTTTACATAGACGCGGTTTTTAAGATGTCCCCATAAAAATAAGTCTAAAGGGTTCAAATCGGGCGATCGCGCTGGCCACTCAATTTGACCCCTTCGACCTATTCAGCGATTGGATAAGATCTGATTTAAATAATCCCTTACTAGCAATGCATAGTGTGGTGGTGCCCCGTAACAGCGAATAAGTTCGTCAAAACCAAAATCTCAATCGGCGGCAAAAACCTACTTTTCTCAAAAGTTTTCTTATTTAACCCTCCACATGTAGCATATCAATGTACTCAGGACAACGGTAGCTATCCAAAAATGCAACAAAAATAAAGGGTTGTAATTTAAAAAAACCTTACTTCGATTGGGGCGCCGCCACGCGGCAGATTTTGGAACAATAACATAGGCTAAAATATTGCTAGAAAAATAACAAAGTTGACGTGTTTCAGCGATTTTTTAAAAAAATTACCGTTTTCAAAATAATCACATGTTCCGGGACTTTACGGACACACTGTATATATTTCATTGTAATTTATATAAGGCTATTTGTGATTTGTTGATAAGTAGCATCCACTAATAAAAAATATCAGTAAAATACTTAATTCGGAATTATAATCTCAAATTTGTATCCCATTCATCAGTACCGTGTCGTCAGTTCCATGTTCGATGTTTCGGTTATCTTTTTTTCGCAAACTTCAATTTAAATTCTGCTTGCGCAGAACTTGTTTATTTAATGTCATTATAAACTCATACAAATTTGGCGTGGGTCCCATATCTAATAATTGAGATATCGGTATACCCAAAATCCATCAGCCGCCACTGATGTGTGGTATTATTTGATTTTAAGATATTTAATGTATAATATGCTCAAAGTTGCAATAAATCTTATATTTTCCAATAAATTATGTATTTAATTAGTCCCTGGTATACTCGTCACTTCCCCTGCATTCAAATTTAGAAAACACAGATATTTCAGAAACTGTTTGAAAAAGTGACTGGAACAGTATATTTATTATATTATCTATGTTCTCATAACAAAATACTGTTTAATTTTCTCCGAAAACTATATAAACAAAATGAGGTCAAAAGTTGCCCAACTTTTTTAGAATCACCCATATAGGATATAGCTACCTTATCAAAAATTGAATAGAGTAGCTATTTGTTTTAGTCTTAGCTAAGGCTAAACTTTTATTTCGGCCTAGTCAAGATTATTATAGTGTTGCAACACGTTGCAGCCAAAGATAATTTTTCATATTTGGTTGCAGTAAAAAATAATTTGTTTTTTTAAACACTCCAAAAAGCAAAAATAAATGACATAATGATATAAAGTCATACTTTTTATAACCTCTAGAAAATATTTACATATTTTTTTTTGTCAAAATGCCTCCGAAAAAAGGTAAAAAAGGCAAAAAAGGGAAGAAAAAGGAACCAAAAGTAAAAGAAGTAGATCCAAGACTAGATTTGCCGGCAAAGTTAGCTTTTGAAGCGGAATTAGTAGAACTCAACAGGGAATTAGCAAGATTAAGAACTTTGCACCTTAAATTAGACCAAGAAGCCGAAGAATGCAAAAAGAATTTAGAAGAAAAAGGCGAAGATAAAGATGATATAATAGTTTTTTTAAAGCGCACAATAGCTGAAAGGTCTGAGGACATAGAATATCTGACTTCAATTAAAACAGAAAAGGAAACTTTAATGAAACAAGAAACAGAAAAGTACGATGCTGTAATTGACGAGATGGTGTACGATTTTAACACGATGCAAAACGAGTTAAATGCAGACAATGATTCGTTGGAAAATAGAATAACTGCCATGGAGGATGTGCGACAATTTAAGATGGAACTAATGACAAAATTTAAGAAACTTGAAGACGATTTGGAAGATCAAGAAATAAGGCATGAAAAAGAAATATACGACTTAGAAAAATACGTTGTTATTGAAACAAACAGAATTAAAAACGAAATAGAAGACCGACTAGCCCAATTGGCGGCTGAGTTTGAAAACACTTCAGATTTAAGATTGCTTGCCGCAACAAATAAAACAATAAAAGAGGATATACTTTTAAATAATGAACTAGACAAGACATTAAAAGACTACGAAACTGCATACGATCTATTCAATAAACTTAGAGCCAAATTTAAAAATCATAATTTAATATTAGGAATAGATGTAAGGGAAGAAAGAGTCCTTACATTGACAGCTAAAAGGCAAAAGAAAAAAATAAAAGATATAGTCAATAAAGCTATATACATTGCATCATTAATTGATCAACAAATATTAATGCAAATAAAATGTCTTAGTTATAGTAAACAAACTCAGGAACTTCAAGGTATCTTAGAAGAAATTGTAAAGGATAATGAAAAATTACAAAAAAAACTTTATCATGATCGTAGCGAGAGAATCATGATAAACACGGAACGCAAACTTATTATAAGTGAAAATATTATTTATAAAAGAGCATTTAAAAAAGTCAATATTATTGCTAAGAGAGCTTTAGAAAGCGCATTTCCAATCAGAGATCCCTTGAGAATTTTGAATAATATTTCGAAGATTTTAGAAGGTGCTGATGTTAAAAAACTTCCTGAATTAACTGACGAAGAAATTAAAAAAGCATCCTACAAAAAGGGACGGTTCGGCTTACAGCCTAAAGGATATATTGAAGTACCAACAATCAATAAAGATGTGAAGATTCAAACTAGTACAAGTCTAATGGATTTGGTTATAGACGAAAATGAGGAAGAAGAAGAAATGGACGAGATGGAATTCGAGGTTGAAAGTTTAAGTGAATTATATAAAGAAGTTGGTTTAGATATAGCTACTGAAGAAAACTCTGTTGAGGAAGAAATAGATATAGAAGAAGCCTCACTTATGGAAGATAGTCGGTTTGAAGAAGAGGGCAAATATGAATAGAATAACAACCTTTTCAAATTGTACTTTAAATATATTTTTTTCTGATGAAGGTTTTGTAATATTTTTTATACTTCTATATGATTCTATTCTGGCAAGTTATAAAATGTTTTACCGTTTAATAAATCGAAAATTTTTTTGAAAGGTGCTGATATAAAAAAATACCAAAATTAACTAAATAAATTAATTGTGGCTTACAGTCCAAAGGATATATTGAAGAACCAATAACAAATAAAGATGTGAATATTCAAATTACTACACGTCTAACAATAGTAGATTATGTCATAAGGAGTAGAAGTGACTCTTTTTGTGGTAAGTACAGAGATTGACGGCCGAAGCGTAGCTGAGGCAGGCAACTGTACGAAGCACAAAAAGAGCTTCTACTACAAATAACATATACAATTTTTTTTTCAAGGGCGTAATATAAATAGGATAAGCAATAGAATTATTTTATTTACTCATAACTCATGTGGTATAAAACTTTGGCTAAAAGCATTAGAAATTATTGATAAAAACTAAAAAAACTTATAACCCTTACTTACAATGCCGATAAATATCCTAAACCATAGATAACAAAGCCTAAACTAAAACTAAACACTGCTCTGTCAAATGCTGCGCTTGAATTAATTTTGACGTACTGACATTTGTTTGAAGTTTCGACATTGGCGACTCGTCTATCATCATAATATTATACTAATAAACTAGTTTTTCTTTATTTCGTTCAATTAAAATTTAATAAATAATCACTAAATATTCCGTGCGATTATAATTAATATAATTAATACATCGTGATTGCTTAGTATGAAATGCTAAATTAATTTTATTATTTGACGTTTATTGAGTCACCTATGGATTTACTTCTATCCCTAGGCTTTTTTGAGTTTTTTGTCTGCCGCTAATGAAAAAGAATTATTGACAAAAATAAGAAAACTGAAGAAATTAATGTAGAAGTATGAAATGCAAAAGACAGTTTATTTATTAAAGAAGGATAATCTGAGATTAAACAATAATAATTATAAATTATAAAGTATATATTTTTTAACTTTACCTTCTTAAAATATATTATGTTTGTGTCTGATAAATAATTTGTAATATTTTATGAACTTATTATAGACTTTACCCTTACTATAATTCTAGCAAGCTATAAAACGTATTATTATACAATATTTGAAGATATATATCAATAAAAAAGATAATATCTCTTTTACGAGAAAACATATGTCACATGTCAATAACATTGGAAAAAGTTTGGCAAAGATAAAATTGAAGAACAAACAAAAAAGCTAATAAATAGGGAAGGTCATTGACCTAAATTAGAAATATAAATTTTTAAGTCGCTTGGATTATGTTTATTGGTCGATTTTATATTAAAACAGTGGGACTTTTAAAGCAATTTCATGTTCGTTAAAACAACAATTTTATTCTAAAATGTGGCTGAAGGGGAAATATTTACAAAATGTTTGGTTGTTTTATATTTCATTAAATTGAAAATCTGTATATACAGATAACAAAGCCTAAACTAAAACTAAACACTGCTCTGTCAAATGCTGCGCTTGAATTAATTTTGACGTACTGACATTTGTTTGAAGTTTCGACATTGGCGACTCGTCTATCATCATAATATTATACTAATAAACTAGTTTTTCTTTATTTCGTTCAATTAAAATTTAATAAATAATCACTAAATATTCCGTGCGATTATAATTAATATAATTAATACATCGTGATTGCTTAGTATGAAATGCTAAATTAATTTTATTATTTGACGTTTATTGAGTCACCTATGGATTTACTTCTATCCCTAGGCTTTTTTGAGTTTTTTGTCTGCCGCTAATGAAAAAGAATTATTGACAAAAATAAGAAAACTGAAGAAATTAATGTAGAAGTATGAAATGCAAAAGACAGTTTATTTATTAAAGAAGGATAATCTGAGATTAAACAATAATAATTATAAATTATAAAGTATATATTTTTTAACTTTACCTTCTTAAAATATATTATGTTTGTGTCTGATAAATAATTTGTAATATTTTATGAACTTATTATAGACTTTACCCTTACTATAATTCTAGCAAGCTATAAAACGTATTATTATACAATATTTGAAGATATATATCAATAAAAAAGATAATATCTCTTTTACGAGAAAACATATGTCACATGTCAATAACATTGGAAAAAGTTTGGCAAAGATAAAATTGAAGAACAAACAAAAAAGCTAATAAATAGGGAAGGTCATTGACCTAAATTAGAAATATAAATTTTTAAGTCGCTTGGATTATGTTTATTGGTCGATTTTATATTAAAACAGTGGGACTTTTAAAGCAATTTCATGTTCGTTAAAACAACAATTTTATTCTAAAATGTGGCTGAAGGGGAAATATTTACAAAATGTTTGGTTGTTTTATATTTCATTAAATTGAAAATCTGTATATACAGGGCGAGTCATTTAACTTAAAACTTTGAAATATCTCAGTTAGTATGCATTTTACGAAAAAATGTTAAAATATAAAATAATAAATAATAAAAAATAAAAATTAAATGATTCGAGGGGGGAAATCAATCAGTACTAAAATTGGTCATCATACTCTCCTCTTTATAGGGGGAACATGGGGTAACTTTAAAATTTCCAATGGAACACCCTATTTTTTATTGATATTTATGACATTTTTTCATATTTGTAATAGATGGCGCTGTAATGAAAAAAAATCAATTTTGTTCGATCTTTCTTCTGTATACGATTCTCCAATAAGTTTTGAATAAAATACTTGGTTTAATTTTTTAAATTTATTTATTTATTTTTTAAATTTTAATTAAAGTAGGTGCTCAAAATGGTGGCCTTCGACATCAATGCATTTATTAATTCGCATTTCAAATGACTACACAACTAGGTAGCGTATCTGCTGGAATTTCGGCACAAGCATTTCTAATTCGCTCAATCATATTTTCACGTGTTGTTGGTACTTGTTAATAAACACGAAACATCGTAAGGATGGTATTTATTTCGTTTTAAAATTCTGCTAACACTGCTCTGGGATATTCCCAAATCTCTTGCATGAGGATTAGCGGCCGTTGCTGCTAATACATTAATTTCATTATTTCCACCTGTGACTGTTGCTCGACGAACTCTTTTTTTCGGTTGAACACTTCCGTTTGTGGTAAACTGCTTGATTGTACGGTGAAATGAAGTACGTGATCGATTTTTTTCCGGAAAACGCTGAGCGTATATATTAACACCATCATCAAGATTCCTGCCTGCTTCTCCATAAATCAAAATCATTTCTATTTTTTCTTCCACTGTTAAAAAATCCATTATGAGTAACTGCTAACGAAAGGAGGTCTTTTGTTTGCAAATTAATCTTCGAACTAAATTGATTAAATAATGCTACTCTCTAAAAATGAATTAGTCAAAAATGACTAAATGACTAGTTATTAGTGGCTGCTTTTTCACTTGTACCATGGTTAACCATGAAATACCATGGTATCCTAAAATTTATAAGCCAATTCTTATGTAAAATTGTCCCTAGAATCCGAAAATATCGTCAAAAATTATGAAAGTGGAGCAGTTTTTGAGATATAGTCAATTCCATATTAAATGAAAAATTGACTATATCTCAAAAACTGTTTTACTTTTTTAACTTTTGACGACATTTTCGGATTAAGGGGACAATTTTACATTAGAATTTGCTTTTAAATTTTGGGATACCATGGTATCCCATGGTTAACCATGGTACAAGTGAAAAAGCAGCCACTAATAACAATTAAATTAGTTATTTTAAACTTTGTATAAATAGCGTTGAGTGAAGAAGTTCCTTAGTCAATGTAAATAGTTTAATAATAATTATTATTTATAACTAAATACCATTTTTTTATACCTCAATAATTATTAGGATTAAAATAATTAATTGACAAAATATTGTTTCTTTTTACCTTGAATGAGGTATTTTTATTAAAAATAGTACAATAATCCTTTTAATTAAAGTATTTAATGCTGGCAGGTAAAAAGTGACCATGGTGCGCAATTGATAATTATCACCGAATGAAATAATGTATAAAACTTAAACCAAAGGAAACATAAATATTATTTAAAAAATCGTGGGTACTAAAAATCAGATTTAATTTAAAAAGATAATTATTACCAAAAAAAGTGATATTTTTATAAAAAAATTATTGCAGAATCGTATAAGAAGAAAAATCGAACAATTTTTTTTTTCTTTACATCGCCATCTATTACAAATATGAAAAAATTTACTGTAAAGATTTCTCCTTACCCCAAGTTCGTTTAAAACAAGTTTTATGAAAAATTGATAAATTAAATATTTTGTGGCTTTGGCTCGTGATCGTCTTACTCAAATTTGGACCCCTACGCTGTGTTTACTTACTTGTTTTATTAGATGCATTGCTTTAAGAATGATATGTGGGAGAATTAGGTTTATAAGAAATAAAATACAGTGGCTTAATTTACCCCAATTTAATTTACGTTAACTTTTTACAAACAAGCAAGGGGTGGCTCTTAGGAGGGTTCGGCCAGAGAAAAAGAGCCTGAGAAAAAACCCTGGTCGGCTATGAAGTAGCAAAGGAATACGCGGTCAGGCATTGTACTTTAAAAATTACGCAAATTAATGTATTGGCGATATGGCTCGATACTGCATTTAAACAAAGATTTAAAACTGAAGAATATTGGGGTTAGTTAGCCGGGCTAGGCCCAGAATGTAACGAGGTCCACAATGGGAGGCAACCCGCCTATTTTAGTTGAAGGGTCGGGGAAAAGCGATGCAACCCTAGAGAACCTAGGGCAAACTTTTCCCCTCACGGGAGAAAAATATTAGTTCATACAACAAAGGCCCACGCACACAAACAAAGAGTACTCAAAGTTGGAACAATAACGGTCAGCACTCCTGGTTAAGTACCGAGTAATTTCGCCATACATCAATAACTTTGGACTGATCATAAAACAATGCTTAACCACGTTATAGAAAAGGGTACAAAATGTTGGGTTAGGC